GCAGAAATTTAGAACTTGCATACAGGGGTGCATCGAAAAATATCGGGTCGCGACGACGACGAGCAAGGTAGGGGTGAACACATACGATGTACTGTTATTATTACGATGACATCTGACGGATACAGACGTAAATTAGAAGAAGTTTGTAATCGTATTCGAGAGCTGTATAATCGATATATCATATTGAGCGGTGCTGTCACTATTTGTAGTCTTGTACCATTCTGAATCTTCTTCGGTGTTATCTGGGAATATTAGCTTGATATTGTAGAATGTTCCTTTTGACTTTGGTATTTCTTTAAAAAATACTGGAAGTTGTCCATAATTCATCACTTTATGATTCATCAGTGACCATTCAGTTTGGTTACAATCAATTTTTTCATCTTTGAAACATATCGCTATGCTCTTAACATTGTTTGGAACGTTCGTATACAGAACATTATTAACAATAGCTGTGAGGATGATGACTGAAGTTCTCAGTTGGGGTGACATCAGGTCTTGGGTATTGTGTGAGAGAACGTGAATTATCCCACAAACTTAGTCGATCTAACTGTCTTAACAGTTTGGATTTGTCTTCGTAAAATTCGATGTCCTTATTCAGCTCTCGAATACGATTACAAAATTCTTCTAATTTACGTCTGTATTCGTCAGATGTCATCGTAATAATAACAGTACATCGTATGTGTTCACCCCTACCTTGCTCGTCGTCGTCGCGACCCGATATTTTTCGATGCACCCCTGCATACAGGTTCTAAATTTCTGCCCCCCGTATATCCACGCCAACACCATCCTACAGACAGGTGCGACAACAAATCGGCGCCGTGTATGCGCGAGATGCCCAACCCATCAATGACGCATGACAGGTGTCCAATGACGTATGACAGATGACGTGTGTAGCGCCATCTATGCGCGAGATGCCCAACCCATCAATGACGCATGACAGGTGACCAATGACGAATGACAGATAACGTGTGTAGCGCCATCTATGCGCGATATGCCCAACCCATCAATGCCGCATGACAGGTGACCAATGAAATATGTATTCTTCGATGCACCCCTGTATACAGGTTCTAAATTTCTGCTCCCCGTAGCGAGATGCTGCACGACTCATCAGCCGCGTGACGTCACCCCACCGGCCCGCATCGCGCGCCTTCCTCTCCGCCCGCTCGCCTCCTCCCCGCAAGCCTCTACCGAGACTCAACTCTCATAGGTCATCTACTAATATTTTTATCTTGATTATATGATCTGTTATATTAAGCAGAGCGGTAGTAGTAAAGTAAATTTTGCGGAAGCCCGATTGATTTTCCGGCAATATTCTGCATGTTTCAACATACTCGATTATTTGTTGCTGCGCTAATTTCTCCAGAACATTCGATAAAACTGGAAGAAGGCTTATAAGCCTCAAATCAGAAATGTTTAACGTATTTTTTTGAATTTATACTCATGTACTATTCATTGTTATTTATATTTTACACTGTATTCATCATTTGTAATTATTGATTTTACTTTTGACGTGCCAATCTACACATTTGTATCTAACTGGCTAAAATAAACAAACAAATACCCATCGGCACCACTCGAGTATACACTTTTTACACGAGCTTCTTGCCATTTTAACGTTTGATGGATCCCAATAACTGTGAACAATATCTGAAGTCAAACTAGAAAGAGATACAAGCCATTTGGATAGCGAAACTCATCACCGCAACGCTCACGCGGCAATCGGCCGCGTTGCCAATATGTCACACCAGTTCCTTGAATCAAGATGCATATTGAAAATATGGCTTTACGCCCAAATACTGGTTTTATTTTGAACGTACACGTTTTTTAATTGTGCATTGTGTTGAATCTGTGCAGGTCGAAACGAAAGGTTAGGATCGCCACAAATTCTGCAACATGGCATCATCGGTTCGTTTGATAACAAAGCATCTTGAATATTCCAAATGCAACGTTTCCACTTCCATGATCATAGTTGAGTGATTTTGGACAGTACCCATCTAGCGCCTGAAGGCGGGTATCGTCCTGCTTCGAAAAAGCTTTCACGTTTGGTTACATTTTGCGTCAGGTTGTGTTGATCTATCACCATCGGTAGAAATCAAAGATAATTATAAAATAAATTAAAACACCAAGTCGCATCAAAATTGTAATAAATAACTCTAACTCTAACAAAATATCAAATTAAATGTCGGACTGACCTCCTTCTTGGGTTTGACAATATCCTAACCTATTGTAGCAGCTTGTGCGAACATTTTCTGATGTAACATATTGCAGATTGCCCGACCTTCTGAGTCTCCGTTGCTAAGCAATGTGGTGATGGCCTTCACTCTTCAGTCGGCTTCTATCTCTTTCTAACATGTGTTGATACACACTTCTCGCGTTTCTCTCTAGAACACATTGAACTCAAGCCGTCAGACAAATTTGGTTTTCCCTGAATATTGGAAACTGGTATACCACCCTAAAGAACTCAAATTATGTATAAGTCCCCATATTTTTGGCGTAAAATGTTTAACCTACAGCCTTTGGAAATAATGAATTGCCACAATCTAAAGACTTTTAAGAATCTCTTAAAAGACGATTTAATTGAAAGTAGCCAACTGCCTCGTTTATGCTGAAATACAGGGTGTTTCAGTTTATTGTTGCATAACTTTGAGATTCGATAGAACTTTTTAAATTAATGCATAAAGTCTATATAAACATGGGTCGAGAAATGCGTGGCTTCCGAAATTTACTTTCTAAAATAGTTTTTTTAAAATATTTCGAACAATATTTGATGTATAACAGTGAAAATTGGTATACAAGGGTTTTTTGATACGACAAAACGAATCATACTTTTACTGTAGCCGCTAGAGGGCGCTCTCTACTGTACCTGTAGTGTATTAAATTATTATTAATTAATATTAAAAAAAATTTCTTAGTGCATTTTTTTGCTTTTAGAATAAACAAACTGATTCTTCGCACTTTTCAACATAAAATAACGTTAAAAAGTCAGTATCTCGATAATTTTTATAAGTAGGCTGTGCCTGCAAATATTTTTGAAATAATAATAAATAAGGTTAAACGTCAATTAGTTGACAGTTTTGTTGTCTGTTGAAACCTGAAACGTTTTTTTGCAATTGTAAATGCACGAAATTTAGTTTCTTTTACCTGTTTTTTTTTGTAAGTTTTATAAAAATGCCATTTTTATTCTCCAATCAACAGTTAGCGGATATTCATTTTGTGTATGGCTTTGTAAATGGAAACGCAGCAGAAGCAGCCAGAGAATACGCACGAAGATTTCCAAACAGACGACATCCAACTCGCTCAGTATTTGTAAGAGTGCATCGCCAAATAATTGAAAATGGTTTTGGACACCTCCAAAGGCATCAAAACATAAATGTTCGTCAGCGCAGATTTACCCGTATGATTCTGCGTGAGTTTGACAAAGATCCGACCACAAGTGTCAGGAGAGTTTCTGGTGCCTTGGGAATTTTAGCAAGCCATGTTCACCGTGTTCTTAGAAATGACCATTGTCGTCCTTACCATTTGCAACCTGTGCAAGGACTACAGCCAGGAACGAAGGATCACATTTTTTAAGTAACGTTTTATGGACCGATGGGTCATGCTTCACTATACGTGGAGTGGTAAATTTTCATAATCAACATATTTGGTCGCATGAAAATCCGCATGCAGTTCGGGAGAGAAATTTTCAGCATGAATTTAGTGTGAGCGTGTGGATTGGTATCTACCGCAATCGACTATTTGGACCCTACCTTTTGCCTGCAAGGTTAAATGCTGCGACCTTCTTGGAATTTTTAAACGCTGAACATGCAAATATGTGGGATGATGTTATGTTAGATTTAAGAAGATTAGCCTAGTTCCAGCTTGATGGTTGTCCAGCTCATTATTCGAGAATAGTTAGAAACTGGCTGGACGAAAATTATCCACAAAGATGGATCGGCCGTGGAGGACCAGTCGCCTGGCATCAACGATCTCCTGACCTAAATCCATTAGATTTCTTTGTGTGGGGATTTCTAAAAGAAAAAGGGTACCAGACTCCCGTAACCACAAGAGATATGCTAATAGACAGAATCAGGAATGCATGTGATGAAATAAGGCCTTATTTGAATAATGCTATACCACGTTCGATCATTCGTATATGTGAATTGTGTATTGAACAATTGGGTTTACATTTCGAGCAACTACTTTAGATTTTGTATGTTTGTCCTAACTTTCCAATAGCATTTTAGTTGTAAATAATTAATTTAATTTGTTAAAAATAATATTGGAAAATTAAACAAATTAATATCCTTTTTTTTGTGTTTATTTGGAGTTGGGAATTATTGCTGTGTTTAAAAACACAATCTAAACGATCATCTTAATTACTTGTAATGCCCAAATCGAAAATGTAAAAAAAATATTTTCCCATAAATAATTGAAAATGCATCGAACCTTAAAAATCGAAATATCTCAAAAACGGCTAACTATAACGAAAACTCTCAGGAGAGCTTTTTTATGTTGAAAAGTGCGAAGAATCACTTTTTTAATTCAAAAAGCAAAAAATTGCACTAAGAAATTTTTTTCGGTCATTTTAATACACTACAGGTACAGTAGAGAGCGCCTTCTAGCGGCTACAGTAAAACTATGCCCATGGTTCGATTTGTGGCACCAAAAAACCCTTGTATACCAATTTTCACTGTTATACATCAAATATTGTTCGAAATATTTAAAAAAAACTATTTTAGAAAGTAAATTTAAACACCCTGTATTTCGGAAGCCACGCATTTTTCGACCCATGTTTGTATAGACTTTATGCATTAATTTTAAATGTTCTATCGAATCTTAAAGTTATGCAACAATAAACTGAAACACCCTGTATAGTATTCATGCATTTTCATTTCCCCGAATTGTAGCTTGCTTACTCAACCAGTTTAAAAAATAAGTAGGGAGTGGGGGGGACGGTTGAAAAGCACTGTATAATTTCATTTACGGATAAAACCTATCCTGACTTTTGTAATTTCTTCCAGACCACCACCACCGCGCGCTCCTCGAAGTCGTACTCCAGAGTTGTTGCTCGCACCTCGCTATCTGTACTGTGATTGCGTGATGCCTCTTGAACAGGAAGCGGTAGAATTAGCCCAACCTCACCGCTCGTCGGACATCGAGAGCCAGGTGTCTCTACCTCGTTCCTATACGTTACCTAGGGAGTTCAAATATTATAGGTAAGTGCATTGGTACACACTAAATTTAATAAAAGCACGGCTATCGTAGTCGTCTGCGAAGGAAAGCAGACTTCACAATTGTTATAACCTGAAATCCTGCATCTCTGGTGTCGTGGCCAAAGATGAGGCAAGGTACAAAGACTTGTTTGCAAGGAAGTGCACAATAAAGAACCATGTCAAAGAATGGGTAAGAAACCAGCACAAGGAATAAGTACTGGCATGGAAACGACGAGGTCCAGATACAGCTGCGTAACTGCTCTCAGTGAGTAGAAACCAACTAGGTGTAGGTTACAGGCCTTCTAACAGGACACAATGGCCTAAAAGAACACCTGCTCAAAATAGGGCAGACCTCAGCTTCAGGCAATGAGGAAAAGGAACATAATCAGCGTTATATTTACATGTCTTATGTGAGTGCGAGGCACTGATCACAAAAAAAATTAACTCTTGGGAAACCAAAACTGGAACTGAGGGAGTTTAGAACAGTAGCGGCAGGAAAACTGTACCAACTATACTACAACTATTTAAAACTGTAATGACTCATACGCGTGATCAACACGTGATCAGAGCTCGATCCCGGCTTCCTTCCAGTACAGCCGTATAGCGTACGACATATGTCGTTTCTGTGGCTTTGCGGTGGTCAACAGCACAGACAGAGATGGAAATAATGGCTGATTGTTCTCCGCCGATAGAACCAATGAAATCAAAGACGCGCCTCGACCGGCAGACTCATAGGCGTCGGCAACGCATTGGAACGTGTTTCGTTGAGCGATCGCATATTGTGTGTTTTTATAAGAATTGTTGTGTGATTGTTATTGTTGTGGTTTCTGTGGTTACTGTTTTGGTTATACTTAACCATGGAGAGTACAAATGGCACGAGTGGAAGTACTGAAAGCCAGGGAACAAGTAGACGGCTTCGTAAAGCACTGAAGAGGGACGCGACAGAAATCGTGCTCAACGTGTTCAATTATCTGAACAGAACTATGTCGCAGGGAGATGCACTCGCGCGTTGTGAAAGTATGACAGGCGTTCCAGAGTGGACCATTCGCAGGGTGGTGCATGAAAAGAAGAAAACTGGAGCTACTACTGATCCAAAGTTTAATTTGAAGGGACGAAAGGCCGTTAAATTGGATGACGATAGCAAAATGGCGTTAAGGCGAACCGTACATTCATTCTTCTTTAGGAATGAGGTACCAACCCTCAAGGCTGTACATGCAGCGATCAAGGAAAATGAAATTATACCCCAAATGAGCGTCGAGGTAATGAGGAAATCCCTGCACGAAATTAATTTTCGTTACGAAACGCGTAATCGGAAGTCAGTATTGATAGAGAGACCTGAAATAGTCGCCTGGCGTCGAAAATACCTACGCGAAATGATTGAATATAGGCGACACACAGTTAAAAAAACCTGAATAGACAAAAACGTAGCGAGTAACCGACAAGCAAGCATTGAAGGTTTGTCAACAGGTCTTCGTGGACCGTCAGGGAAAGGTCAAAGATTGATCGTAACTCATATTGGTAGCAATAGTGGCTTTTTAGAAGAGTGTGACTTGATTTTCGTCTCTAAGAAAGGAGGTGATTACCATGACGAAATGAATGCCAGCTGCTTCGAGAGCTGGTTTCAAGGGGTGCTTCAGCGAGATGAGCCCAACTCTGTGATCGTCATGGATAATGCTTCCTACCATAGTCGTCGAGCCGAACGTGTACCGACTATGGGATCTCGAAAAAGTGACATGCAGAAATGGTTGCGCGAAAAAGGAATCCCGTTTGACGATTCATGTGTGAAAGCGGAATTGTATGAAAAAATTAAACAGCACAAACCTGCGTCCATTAGTTACGTGACTGATGACTGATGAGATGGCCCGTCAATGTGGTGTCACTGTGCTGCGGTTATCGCCCTACCACTGTGAACTGAACCCAATAGAGCTCATCTGGGCTCAAGTGAAGGGTTATATTGCGCGCCATAACACAACCTTCAAATTACCAGACGTTAAGGTTTTACTTGAGACTTCCATACAGCTAGTAACGCCCGAAGCTTGGCAGAATGCTATCCGTCATGTTTTGAAGGAAGAAACAAAAATGTGGTAGCTTGACCACCACATCGACACCATCATAGAGCCAGTTATAGTCAATTTCAACGAGGAAAGCGATAGCGACAGTTTATTACTGTCAGATGTAAGTGGAAGCGACGATGAATAAAGGTAATTCCCAAATTTTTGACTTACAATATGTTTCAAACCACTCTTTATTAAGCATGTGACAAATCTAGTTCACCCATGTTAAACATTCATATCCCGCCTATGAACAGCCGACTACTGGTAGTTAAGTGATGTTCACGTGAACATCGATGAGTCATTACAGTTTTAGATAGTTATAGTATAGTACAGAACACTATACTGCTGGATTGGGTACTGTAAATTGGAGGAACAACGTACAATAAGCCCTAGGGGTAGCAGTGCCATCGGAAAGGGAAAAAACCTGAATTTCTTATCGATTTTTTCTCATTGATGTAGGTATCAACGTGTTTCAGTAAAGTAACTCATTACGATGAACAAATATTCCATAATTTAAAGGAGCAACAGGTTGTCCTCAGATTTACCTCTTGTTGAAAAAAGTCCAAAAGGAATATTCATTTTCTAATCCATTGACTCTTCCAAAAATGTAGACACTCAAAACTGTCAGTAACTCGATAAATCACAAAAACGAAGCCTCGAGGAAGTTCTAGAATGTTTGTTCTTTCAACCATTAGACAGATTTTCAAAGCCTACAAAGGTTTTTCATCCGCTATAGTGGGAACCTTATGCACCAATGCAATTGGTGCTTTACAAAATAGAAGTCAATGATCATTAGTGTTGACGATTACTCTGCCGTAACTGAACCTATTCTCAAAAATAGTAATATATTCAGTGACATCAGAAGTGTTACACCCAGAAAAAATAATTTCTTCAACTTGATTTTTTTGCAATGAGCATTTTGTTATGCTTAACTGAATGAAAGTTACATGAAAGGGCAATATTTCAAAAAATATGTTTACTACTCAGCTCTCAGAAACTGCTTTCTTCCCAAAAACTAAGAGATAACATTCTAACAAAGGTAAACAAAAACAAAGATAAAACGTTGACATTGTTGCCACAGCATGCTTTAAATACAGGGTTTGTCCGGAAAGTAATAGGACTCAGTTTCCTCCGCCACTTCGGAGCGTGCGCTCACCGACTGGATTCGGTAGAGGGCGTTCCTAGCTAACGAATGAGCGGCTGGTCAGTTGTCTCCAAGCATTTGGAGAGTCAGGACAGGCATTTTCGCGCGACGTGTTTCTGTGAGTGGTGCAAACCGAAAATGCAGCGTTCGTTAGAGCAGAGGTACGCGATTAAATTCTGTGTGAAACTCGGTAAATCTGCGACAGAGACGTTTGATATGATCAAGCAGGCTTACCCAGGTGTTGCTTTAGCAAGAAGTGGTGTGTTTCGGTGGACCAGGCCTTTTTTGGAGGGCCGGGAAGAGGTCGCTGATGAAGGCCGCCGTGGAAGACCTTCGACTTCGACAAACACCGAAAATGTGACTCGTGTGCGCAAAGTTTTGAACTCAGACCGTCGACTAAGTATTCGTTTGATTGCCCAGATGTTAAATTTACCAAAATCTGTGGTTCGTGACATTGTGACACAGCATTTGAACATGCGCAAGGTGTGCGCGAAGATGGTCCCAAAAGTGCTCACTGACGACCATAAATTGCGGCGAGTAATCACAGGTGACGAGTCGTGGATCTTCGAGTATGATCCCGATACAAAGAGGCAATCTTCCGAGTGGCACACGACGGCGCCTCCTCGCCCAAAAAAGGGAAGAATGAGCGAATCCAAAGTGAAAACGATGCTCAGTGTCTGTTTTTGATATCAAAGACATCGTCCCTCATGAATTTGTTCCTCCTTGACAAACCGTCAACGCCAAGTTTTACGCGGAAGTGCTCAGGAGACTCAAACGAAGGGTCAGTCGGATCCGACAAGACATCGCAGCCGACTGGAAGTTCCACCACGACAACCCCCCGGCTCACACCGCCTTTCTTCTGAACAGCTACCTGACCAAGGCGGCATCCCAACGCTTCTGCAGCCGCCCTACAGCCCAGATGTGCCCCCCCTGACTTTTTTGTTTCCTCGCCTGAAAAGGCCGATGAAAGGCAAGCATTTTGAGACGACAGAGGGGATCCAAGCAGCATGCACCGCGGCTCTCAAGGCTATTCCGGAGAATGCCTTCCGTGACGCCTTCAATGCTTGGAAATCGCGCTGGCAGCGCTGCATCGACGCAGAAGGAGCCTATTTTGAAAATTTTTAAAGAATTGTAACGATTGGCTCAATACATTTTTTTAAATCGACTCAGTCCTATTACTTTCCGGACAAACCCTGTATAGTCAGTATGTTGCCAAAAAAGAAGTTGATGAAATTATTTTTTCTGGGTGTAACACTTCTAATGTCACTGAGTATATTTATTATCAGTTTCATAGTCCCACTGTCAAAACTTCATCAAAATCTCATATGTACTTTGTTAGCTATAGAGTGGTCAATAATTACCGGACAGACCCAAGTGGGGCGACATGTACGTCATATAAAAAAATGGAGTCTAGTAAATGGCTCTCTTCCACCGCTACGCCAATGGGCTTTACTCCTCAGATCTCTCCTCCATGATGCCTCCGCGCGACTTCGGCCTCCCATCCTAACCACGTCGAACTTCGTACATCCAGAACTGGTTCTACTAATCTTATGCAATTCAAAAATCGGATTAACAGTTTCTTTAAGCTTTTCATAGTAGCCGAGGTGCCCTGGCATTTAGGCTGCTTCGGTGTAAAAAAAGCTATGGGGGCCTAACAGTTTTATAGATTCGTTTTCATATTGCCAGAAGATGTATAATTAACCATTAGTTTTAAGTTTTTAATAAAATTTCGTTAGTCCGTTGATCAGGCCTGTTACATTTTTCAAAACTTCTCTCATAGGATATTCACCTATGGTAGTTAAATTTTAATATTTAATATTTTCAGTCTTTATGCGTATTGAACAAAGTTACTTCTAATATGACCTATTTAAACAAGTGACATAGAAAATGCAACACCGACTAGGAATGCTGTAATTTTGAGCATACTTTTACAAGTTTTATGTCTACTGATACTAATAAAAAGTGATCAAAATTTTAACTGGAAATTTCGCAAAATAGCTGATATATCCCACCTTAATGTTAATAATGTGTTGAAGTTCCTCTGTTCGCTACACATTCGCTAAGTCGTCGCGGCATTGATTGGATTAGGTGATTGATGTCTTCTTGGCGATATGAATTTGGTTTCATGGAGGCTCTAATGTTTGTGGAGGGTGCGGTGAATTTTGCAACCTTCTTCCAATCATGTTCCATACATGTTCGATGGGGGAAAGGTCTGGGGATCGAGGAGGCCACTACTGAAGCAGATTTACTTCGGGAACTTCTAAAAAGTCTAAACTAACACGCCGTGCATTGTCCTGCTGAAAAAGTGGATCTTGCAATGTTTCCAAAAAGAGAAGCAGATGTTGTTAAATTTCTTGGATATAGCGCTGGGCAGTCATGCTCGAATGGACACTAATCGTGACCTGCTACCGTAAGCAATGACACCGCGATGAATATGCCGTTCGATGGAATATTAGACGTCTTCCACCACATGTCTTTCTCCTCTTTACTGAATATTCCATTCAAGTCTCTGCATACTCCATACCGATCGATGCCGATGTGGAGTCAGAAATAGTGCAAGATGGGGACGGTATGAAAACAGTCCAAAAGACCTTGTCCGGCGATAATAATAATAAATCTTTATTTCAAAATAACGGTGCATGATTAGTTACTATGTATTACACACTGTTAGGTGAAATATACGTCACAGCGTCATCAAAACAGAAAAAGGGGCAAACATGTAACATAATAGAGATTTTACATTTCAAAATACTCTTGAAGGTCATATGGTTCTAAGTGCATTAACAATTGATAAAATACTCTTTATTTTCTTTTATATCCACCAACCTTGGTAACTTATTATACAGGGTATTTCAGTTTATTGTTGCATAACTTTAAGATTCGATAGAACTTTTAAAATTAATGCATAAAGTCTATATAAACATGGGTCGAAAAATGCGTGGCTTCCAAAATACAGGGTGTTTAAATTTACTTTCTAAAATAGTTTTTTTAAATATTTCGAACAATATTTGATGTATAACAGTGAAAATTTGTATACAAGGGTTTTTTGGTACGACAAAACGAACCATGTGCATAGTTTTACTGTAGCCGCTAGAGGGCGCTCTCTACTGTACCTGTAGTGTATTAAAATGACCGAAAAATTTTTCTTAGTGCAATTTTTTGCTTTTTGAATAGAAAAACTGATTCTTCGCACTTTTCAACATAAAAAAGCTCTCTTGTAAATTTTCGTTATAGTTAGCCGTTTTTGAAATATTTCGATTTTTAAGGTTCGATGCATTTTTAATTACTTATGATAAAATAACTTTAAAAAGTCAGTATCTCGATAATTTTTAGAAGTAGGCTGTGCATGCAAATATTTTTGAAATTGAAAGCAGAATAAGGTTAAACGTCAACTCGTTGACAGTTAGTTTTGTTGTCTGTTGAAACCTGAAACGTTTTTTTGCAATTGTGAATGCATTAAATTTAGTTTCCTTTACCTGTTTTTTTTTTGTAAGTTTTATAAAAACGCCATTTTTATTCTCCAATCAAGAGTTAGCGGATATTCATTTTGTGTATGGCTTTGTAAATGGAAACGCAGCAGAAGCAGCCAGAGAATACGCACGAAGATTTCCAAACAGACGACATCCAACTCGCTCAGTATTTGTAAGAGTGCATCCCCAAATAATTGAAAATGGTTTTGGAAATCTCCAAAGGGATCAAAACATAAATGTTCGTCAGCGCAGATTTACCCGTATGATTCTGCGTGAGTTTGATAGAGACCCGACCACAAGTTTTAGGAGAGTTTCAGCTGCCTTGGGAATTTCAGCAAGCCATGTTCACCGTGTTCTTAGAAATGACCATAGTCGTCCTTACCGTGCAAGGACTACAGCCAGGAACGAAGGATCACATTTTTTAAGTAACGTTTTATGGACCGATGAGTCATGCTTCACTAGACGTGGAGTGGTAAATTTTCATAATCAACATATTGGGTCGCATGAAAATCCACATGCAGTTCGGGAAAGACATTTTTAGCATGAATTTAGTGTGAACGTGTGGATTGGTATCTACCGTAATCGACTATTTGGACCCTACCTTTTGCCTGCAAAGTTAAATGCTGCGACCTTCTTGGAATTTTTAAAGGCTGAACATGCAAATATGTGGGATGATGTTATGTTAGATTTAAGACGATTGGCCTGGTTCCAGCTTGATGGTTGTCCAGCTCATTATTCGAGAATAGTTAGAAACTGGCTGGACGAAAATTATCCAGAAAGATGGATCGGCCGTGGAGGACCAGTCGCCTGGCCTCCACGAACCCCTGACCTAAATCCATTAGATTTCTTTGTGTGGGGATTTCTAAAAGAAAAAGTTACCAGACTCCCGTAACCACAAGAGATATGCTAATAGACAGAATCAGGAATTCATGTGATGAAATAAGGCCTTATTTGAATAATGCTATACCACGTTCGATCATTCGTAGATGTGAATTGTGTATTGAACAATTGGGTTTACATTTCGAGCAACTACTTTAGATTTTCTATGTTTGTCCTAACTATCCAATAGCATTTTAGTTGTAAATAATTAATTTAATTTGTTAAAAATAATATTGGAAAATTAAACAAATTAATATTCTGTTTTTTGTGTTTATTTGGAGTTAGGAATTATTGCTGTGTTTAAAAACACAATCTAAACGATCATCTTAATTACTTGTAATGCCCAAATCGAAAATGTAAAAAAAATATTATTTTCCCATAAATAATTAAAAATGCATCGAACCTTACAAATCGAAATATCTCAAAAACGGCTAACTATAACGAAAACTCACGGGAGAGCTTTTTTATGTTGAAAAGTGCGAAGAATCAGTTTTTTTATTCAAAACGCCAAAAATTGCACAAAGAAAAAATGTTTGGTCATTTTAATACACTACAGGTACAGTAGAGAGCGCCCTCTAGCGGCTACAGTAAAACTATGCCCATGGTTCGTTTTGTCGTACCAAAAAACCCTTGTATACCAATTTTCACTGTTATACGTCAAATATTGTTCGAAATATTTAAAAAAAACTATTTTAGAAAGTAAATTTAAACACCCTGTATTTCGGAAGCCACGCATTTTTCGACCCATGTTTATATAGACTGTATGCATTAATTTTAAGTTCTATCGAATCTTAAAGTTATGCAACAATAAACTGAAACACCCTGTATATTTTAGTGCAGCTGTAATGGACATTTTTTTCGGTAACAGTGAGATGATGGACTGGATACAGAAGATTAATATTTCTATTTCTTGTGTTATAGTCACTTCGCGGGTTACCTATAAAATTGTCAATATTTTTAAATGTAAAAATTAGAATCTCTTGGATATCTAGAGATAGGCAGGCAGCAGCTGTGGCCGCAGTAGTAGACTGCGGGTTCGAATCCCGTCCCAGGAGAAATTTTTCTCTTGCTATGGATGTTGTGATTGTCCGTAGGTGGTAGACGGTCTCTGACTGTCGAACGCAGAGGTACCACCCGGCGGTTCTCGTAGGCGGAGCCAGAATGTGTGCATGTTGCATGCACACGTGTTCCCTCGCCAGAGTCCGTGTGGCGTTCCCCATTTCCCCTGTATCCCCCTGTAACCCCACAGTACCCCATGGGTGTTTAGGCCTTAGGCCTTCGTGGTGGTTGGAGTATAAAAAAATATATTTCGGATAAAGGTAAAATTTTATTACTCTTAAATTTTCCTCTGCAAGTCTCTCTAGAGGAAATTTTAGGATGCACCTCAGCACTCGCTTCTGCACTAGAAAGAGCCTATTGATATAGCTACTGTGTCCGAAAAAAATTATTCCAAAACGTACAATGGATTCAAAATTCACGTAATAATCCATTTTTAGATTTTTGAGGTCTAGGTACTTACTTAGTACTGTAGAGGCGGCCTATGCACTGGCTCCTGATGGTGGCCGGAATGCCTCTAATTTCAAGATTCATTCATTCATTCATTCATAGTACTCTAATGCTATAACATGCGTTGTTTAACCTTTTTTCTAGATGTTCTATATGTTTAGCCCAGGAAAATGCTTGGTCAATATGAACTCCCAAGAATTTTCCGCAGTCAGTCAGAAGGACTTGTATTCTTTCTGCTAAGGTGATGTTTGTAGCTTCGATTTTTTTTTCTTAGCTTAAAAACAATCGTATTTGTTTTTGAGGTGTTCAGTGATAATCCATTACGAGCAAACCACGAAAACGCTTTCTCGCAGAGGCTCAAAGGACTTTCAGCTAAATGGTTGAAATCTTGGCCAGAGACTAGTACATTAGTGTCATCAGCCTATCGGATCGTGCATACATTATTTGGGCTTGTAATACTAGCACGCAGATCGTTCACAAAAATCAAAAAGAGGAAAGGTCCTAAGACGCTACCTCGTGGAATACCTCTTTCTACCGTTAACTGTGATGAAACGACTGTTATTTCATTCTTTTTAATGGAAACTCTTTGCTTACAATCTGTCAGATAAGACTTAATCCAGTTGCAAGCACTTCCCCTTATCCCGTGTGCCTCGAATATATTCAATAGAAGAGAATGATCCACGCAATCATAAGCATTGGAGAGATAAAAAAATAGACCCAGTGATATCATGTTATTTTCAATGCATTCTATGATTGGCTGAAAGAATAGATCGCCGTGTTGATGGATTTCCCTTTTACAAACTCATGTTGTGACTCTGCAGTTAAGTTATTACAAATCATATGATGCATAATTCTTGAATACATCACTAACTCAAAAAGCTTTGCAAAACAAGAAAGTAAGCTCATTGGCCTATAATTCACTATCATCTCCTTTTTTATATATACGTATAGATGGAATTATACCTTTTTTAAGTTTTTCAGGGAAAATACCGTACTTAAGTGAGTTGTTTATTATGTGAACCAAAGGTTCCAGAATCACTTTTAAGCAATATTTTAGAATACTACCTGGAATGCCATCATCACCACTACTCATTTTTTTTTTAAGTCTTTTGCCCAGTTCTGCTAGTTCTAGAGCACTAACATATTATAGCTACATACACTCTTGCACACGGTCTAAAAAGTCAGAAGAGTTATGTATTGGTGCCTGTGGTAATATTTTAATTACATCATTAATACAATTCATCTGGTATAACACAGTCATACACACATAAACTGCAATCATCGTTATTGCCCTTCTATCAAACCACTGGTTGGCAACTGCCCTTGTTGTGGAAATTCGATCTCTAAGTGCTAGTTGCCGTCATGTCGCTCTGTAGTCTGTCTTTGACGTCCAGTATCTCTAACTCGTCGATTTTGGCTTTCTTGGAACCATATCGACCGTGGTTCATCTCATTACAGTAGCTTCGTTTCGATTCACCCGATTAGCGATTCCTTTAAAAGAAAATCCGGCTTCACGTAACCAGATTATCTTACCCCTCTCCAACTCGAAATGCATCTTGATGCAATGAAACAAATGGAACCAATACAAAAAAATCACTGAATATTAAGTAAACATGTTCATATTGTTCAATCCTGATATGACAAAAAAGTACAGTCTTTAACATGTTATCAGCGTATACTGTATACTTGCAATGATAGCAAGTTTTTATCAAAATTCAATAAATAATTCTGGGTATTTCATTTTATATGTCACTAAGTATAATTAATAACACTAACACATCACATCTTTACAGGAGACAAAGAGTAGGAAGGCCAATCCAAATGGTGGCGTCGACGAACAGCAGTGACGGGGACGTGGACAGTGCAGATGACGAATCAGACTGCAATCCTCCACCTCCCGTACTTGTCAGGCCCTTGAAGCCTTTCAGACATGAAACCAAGTTGTGATTGTGGTCCGTCCTACTCGCTATTATTAGATAATTTGGACATATGTTTTTATACTTTACATATAAATATTTTATATAATTTATATTAAATTATTTATTTTTGTATAGCTGATAAATATAATGATTTTATTATATTCAATTTTGTTTGAATTCCCCCTGTTACCATTCATTTTCTTTCCTACAAAACAACAATCTGTTTTTCATTCTTTCTCATTAATGATAATTCCACTAGAAGCAATACCAGGGTATTCAGAACCTACACAGATTTTGACGGATCACAGTGAAACCAAAAAGGCGTTAAAACGATTTTCTTATACCGAAGCAGCCGCGCAGGCTGAAGCTTAAATGCCAGGACACCCCAAAGAAATGTTGTTAATCCGATTTTTGAACTGCCTAAGGTTAATAGAACTGGGAAAAGCTTCCTCTTGTAGATTGTTCCACAATCTCGACACCCTCGGTACAATGGAGCGGTCGTATCGGCCAGTTCTGGATGTGCGAAGTTCGACACGGTTATGATGGGAAGCCAAAGTCAGGCGGGTCTGTAGGGCAGGCACATCGCGCGGCGGCATCATGGAAGAGAGCGCTGAGAAGGCTCCCGAGACTGCCTGTTAGAGAAGAGTCATCGATCAGTCGGACAGCACTCCTCTGCAGAGCATCGAGCATAAATAATGTAGTCGGGGCGGCAAACGTGTGACCAATACTCGAGGCTAGGTGTTATCTGTGTCTTGTATAGAGTGAGGAAGTTACGCGAAGAAAAGTACTTCTTAGCCCTTAACAAATAGCTTAGCTTTTTACCAGCAGCTGCCGCTATTGAGATGTGTTCGTGCCAGATCAAGTCCTCGGTGATCTGGACTCCGACCTCTTTGACAGAACTCGACCATCCATCGAAATCGGATGAGTGCTAGGACGCTTTTTGCTTGTCAAGGTAAAGTACTGTGTTTTGGAAGCATTAAAATGTATAAGATCGTTGCGTCCCCGAGCAGAGATAACCACCAGATCTCTCGTCAGAAAGGAAGTCGCCGCCTAGTCTTCTTTTTTCTTAGCTCAGCGGAAGATGCCGGCTTTTCTCTCTGAATTCCTGCATGTAGAGTGCTGTCATCAGCGAAGCTGTGGATTGGGTTGATCGTGCAGGAAAGAGGAACAGTGTGGGAGCCAAGACTGGTCCCTGGAGAACAGCCGCGATGACGTTGTGGGATGAAGAGAACCCGTGCATTACGACGTACATCTTGGGGCTAGAAAGAAAGTCAGCCATCCATCTGCAAACCTTCTCTCAGAGCCCATAGGTTAGACAACGACATGAGATTCACCATAAGCTATAGGCCTGTAGTTGTAAGGGTCTTGTTTTGGGATGGGTTGGACATGAGTAAATTTCCAGTTTTCTGGAAACGAGTTTTACACGGAACTGTCCCGGAACCTTTCTGATCCCGCGCAATATATTCTCGTGTTGTCTCCGCCGTTATCACTGGAGAATCCAAATGGTTCTGAACCTAAATAATGTTACTGTTAACAGTGTTTACTAGATTTATTACTCCTTTCAGAGAGACGATGGGAAGAACGACCCAGTGTTACATAATTCATAAGTGCAAGAGAGAGTAGGAAGGATCGGTTTGTACAGTGCGATTTCTTCTCATGAAGTTGTGTTTTGCACATGGTACAGTTAGTGTGTTTAATTATTTCCTATGACATTGATAGGTAGCCATCAAAATTCGTGAAATGATGCATACAAGGTCTGTCGCAAAGTAAACAGGAAAAATGCAGGAAAACGAATATACAGGGTCCGCCAAAGGAACCTGACGTTTTCAGAATGGATAATACGAAGCTGTTTTTTGACGTAGAACATCGGTTACAGTGGGCAAGACATCGGTAGTAGATGCCATTTCAGTAGTCATGGAGCTGTGGACAAGTGAACATCGCGCATTTGTTTTCGAGACGTATTTTAAAAATCACAACTCGGTGATCATTACACAGCGTCTATTTCGTACACATTTCAATGTCGGGCGTCATGGTTCTGTTCCATGCCGTAACACAATTGAGTTGTGGGTCAAAAATTTTCGTCGATCTGCATCAGCAATGAAAGCTAAGCCACCAGGAATGCGTCGAACAGTTCGGACTCCAGCCAATATTGAGAGGGTGCGAACAGCGGTGCAGCAAAGTCCACGTCGTTCAGCTAGGCTACAAGCGATTAGTCTAAGGCTTTCAGAAACAACAGTGCGGCGTATTTTGCATAAGGATTTACATCATCACCCTTACAAATTAGCGATGGTTCAAGAACTGACAGGTGAAGACTTTGTGAACCGTTTGACTGCAAGCAACCAGCTTCTGGAACTTTTGGATGAAAACGCTTTAGGTGGCTTAATTATGTCTGATGAGGCGCATTTCGAGTTATCAGGCTACGTAAATAAGCAGAATTTTCGCCACTGGTGTACAGAAAACCCGAGAGAACTTCACCAGCGACCCCTTCATAGTCGCAAGGTTACTGTTTGGTGCGGAGTGTCGCGATTCGGCATAATTGGACCCTATTTTTTTGAGGACAATGCTGGAAATTCTGTCACGGTCAATTCGCAAGGTTATCTGGAAATGTTAAACACATTTTTGGAACCAGAGCTTCGTCGACGGAACATAGATTTAAATACTGTATGGTTTCAGCAAGATGGCGCCACAGCGCATACAGCACGAGCAACAATGGTTCGACTGCGAGAAATGTTTCCAGGAAGAGTCATTTCGCGGAATGGAGATGTTCCTTGGCCGGCAAGGTCTCCCGATCTCACGGCTTGTGACTATTGGTTATGGGGTTATCTCAAAAGCAAGGCATATTTAACGAGCCCAAGGACCATTGAGGAATTGAAGGACAACATTCGCAATGAAATTAGCGCGATTCCGATGAGTATGGTACAGCGCGTAATGGGGAATGTGCGAAACCGTTTGGAAAAGTGTGTCCGCAGTGAAGGACATCACTTGACCGAAGTTATTTTCCATACATAAAATGGCATGTAATACACTTTCGATTACTTATATATGAAAATAAATATCTTGAAAGATACATTTGTAATTTCATATTGAAACTCATCAGGTTCCTTTGGCGGACCCTGTATTTTATTCAAAATAGTCTCCTTCAGAGTTAATACAGCGATTTGCACGGACCAAAAGATTTTCGAGTGATTATTTTACCTCATAGATCGGGGTGTCCTTCAAAATGGTCGTCGACTCCTTTTGGATGGCGTCTACGTCGGCATACCGCTGTCCCTACATGGCCAAATGTAGTTTACCGAACACAAAATAGTCACACGGTACCATATCAGGAGAATATGGGGAGTGGTTGGTGGTTAAAACGCGATTTTTTGTCAAAAAATCGGACACAAGCGTCGACCGATGAGATGGTGCAACAAGAGCCAGCTTCCTTCTTCGCGATATTATGGCCGAACACGACGAATACGCGACAGCGGCAGCGATAACTCGTAGAAAAGTCATGAAATTTTGACAGGGCATCAATGAAAGATGTACCTATCCAACGCTGGTCTCTGAGAATCGATGGAGCTATTTGTATCGTATATCTTTCAATAGCCCTATTTACTTTGCGACAGACCTTGTAGATCGATTACACTAATCAACAGCCAAAAAATATCCTAAATAAAATCAACAAAATATTACTATTTTTAATGTGCTAAAACCGGAATAAAACTTATTTTCTCAATATTAGTTCAAGTTTTAGAGATACGGACAGTGTTAATATTCTGTAATTCACAAGAAGGTACGTGCTACATTTTTATATTCGGCAAGGACAGATGATGTAATCGGCATGATTGTGTTACGTTATACATACGTGTACATTATATTGTTTTATATTAGCCATTTTTTCCTCAGTTGGCTGACAGCGTTCATGCAAGATGTCTCGAAAGTGTGTAAACAATCCAGATCAGTTTTGTTACGTGTGTGGTGATGTGACTTTTGCGTCTCAGAGACGGTCTATTACTCCACTAATAACAAAGGCATATCAGCTTTATTTCGGTTGTAAACTAGGTGATCAAGACAAACAGTGGGCATCCCACATCTGCTGTAATACATGTGCTTCAAGTCTGAGGAGCTGGTTAAATGGCAAAAAACGGTCTATGCGCTTTGCTGTCCCAATGGTTTGGAGAGAGCCTACAAATCATATTGATGATTGTTACTTTTGCATGGTACCCTGTGTTGGACAAGTCACAGGTATGTCCAAGAAAAAAAATCGGTTATTAACTACCCAAACATACCATCTGCGATGAGACCTGTGCCTCACAGTGACGAAAATCCTATTCCAAAACCCCCAGAATCCTACACTTGCGAATCAGAAAACGAATCAGATCATGGCGATCGAGTGATTCGTCAGGAAGAAGACATGCCATCAACGTCAAGAGATCCTGATTTTATACCGAGCACGTCATGCCACCAACCGCACAAAATAACACAGTCAGAATTAAATGATCTTGTAAGAGATTTAGAACTTCCAAAATGTAAGGCAGAGTTACTTGGATCAAGACTGCAGCAGTCGAACTTGTTAGAAGACGATGTTTCGGTATGGCCTGTTCGTCAATTCCTAGAGCCAGGTCAAAAAAATGTACAGCATATGCCATTAGTAGATTCGAAAAAAATTTGATTACCACCACTGCATATCAAGTTGGGCCTAATGAAAAACTTTGTCAAGGCATTAGATAGAGATGGGTCAGCTTTTCAATACCTGCGTCAGAAATTTCCAAGACTAAGTGAGGCAAAGGTTAAAGAAGGTATTTTTGTTGGGCCACAGATTCGAAATATTTTGAAAGATACACAGTTTGAAAACACTTTAACAGGTATTGAAAAAACTGCTTGGAATGATTTCCGTCTGGTGGTCACTAATTTCTTGGGAAATAGAAAAGCTGACAACTATAAAACCCTTGTCAAAAATATGCTGTCATCGTATCAAAAGATGGGCTGTAATATGTCTCTTAAGATACATTTCCTACACTCACACCTGGAGTTTTTTCCTGACAATTGCGGAGCCGTAAGTGATGAGCACGGCGAACGTTTTCATCAGGATATTTCAACAATGGAAAAAAGGTACCAGGGAAAGTGGAATCCTTCCATGCTTGCAGACTACTGTTGGACTCTTGGTAGAGATGCTCCA